GATATGAATTCTAAAAGTATTATCTAAGGGATGCTGTAGTTTAGGTGGTAGTTTACGAATTTGAGAATATCTCACTCGGATCTGGACATATATGTTTGCATTTTTTTCTTCAAATGATATACGGCTTGTCCAAACGTAACGCTGTTACGTTTTTGACACATATTTTTGCGATTATCTCGGGAACGGTGAGAGCTAAACAGATCATCCAAACGCCATTCGACGCAGCCCGTTTTACTCTATTTATGCTATAAAAATGAAAAATTTTGCTTGAATTCTCGAACTTCTAGAAAGATTTTTCTATCGCGTAACACTGTTACATAAAAAGACCCTTACTTTAGAGTGCTCGCACTTAAACCTTAATTTCCTGCGAATGTTGCCACCTAAATGAAATGCTTTGAGCATAGCTTTTATACAGCTTAAAACGGGCTTTTTAATAGTAAAAAGATTTTCCTTCTAATTACTTTCACTAGCATAAAAAAATCAAAAAACGAACGTAAAGCTGTTACACTTTTTTTTGACAAATTGCTATATGCTCATTATTTGGTCTGTATTTGTCACATTCAGTTATTTTAGCTTCGAAATAACCGTTTCTATTGCCTTTACTACTAAACATTACGCTAATCCCTTCAAACAACTTTGTTAGGCCTTGATCAGATTCAAAATTTCTATTGTAGTAAACCATACTTCTGTCATAGTTTCTAAACTTCGTACGGAGACTCTTAACCACTAGAGGTTATGTGGGCACCACATACAACAATAGTGTTGATCCAGCTCGGGACGAAGATCCGGTCTCCATTGAGCTGGGTATTTTTTTTTTGAATACTTCTATATATAAAAATTTTTCATTTTTTTAGCCTACATCAGTAAAATTCTAATTTAGTGAATATGTTTCTACCTTTCATTAGTTATCTAAACGCACGCATCAAAAGAAAAATAAAATCTGAAAAAAGTACTAGAAATAAAATTTTTAGCTCAATATTTTACAGTTTGTTTTTGAAAACATGAAGAATAATAACGAAATTCTAATGTATTATTATCAACTACTTTAACTGAATGCATTTTTAGTGTTTCTAGAATGCTTTTTGCTGTTTTGAAAATACTTTCAAGTTTGTTTTTTGATTCATCAATATTATTTTTCGTGATTTCAATGAGAATTACTTTCTTGGTTTTTTTCTTTGCAATTTTAATAAAATCTTCGACTGATCGATATACTTCTCCTCCTAATATAGCTGACCAGACAACACGTTTTACAGTTCCTCCAATACCACCAACCACACCTTTTCCATGAGAAGTTGCAAAAAAATGCCAACTCAAATCAATATTATGTTCATTAGCTATCTGTGTTAAATTACGAAAATGAAAACGCTGTTTAAACTGTGAAGCAGCACCATCAGAAAAACAATCTACTACCTTAATATTAGGAAGAATTGTTACAATATGATTCAAAATGATTTTCAAAGCTGCATCAACAACAAACTTGTCATGTGTTATATCCGATGATGGTAAAGCAAAAGCAAAATTTTCATTTTTTGACCAAACATAAGCAGTAAATATACTCAATGGTTTTGAGTTCCAATGAGCCTTCTGAATTTCATCTTGTTCTTTCATATTGAAATTCTCGGCAAAATCAACTTGCAATACAATCTTTTCTTCACTAACTTCCTGTTTCAATTTCTCGAAATACTTTGATTGCTGTCGCTTAATATAAACATGAAGCAAGAAATATTCTACTTTGGACCTCAACAACAATACCGCTTCGTCAACACTTCCTAAAAATTCTTTTTTTTCGGCACGCCCGTTTTCATTTATCCATTGTGACCAAGTAATTTTAGCATTACCATCTGAAACATTTTCCTCAACTTTTTCTGCAAAGAAATCTTCACATAGTGAGCAAGAACTAAACATACATTCTTCATTATTTGTGCTACAAACTAAACTATCAGTAAAAATTTGCAAAGATGAACAGAACTTTCCATCAACATATTTATCAATAGATTTCAAAAGTAAACAAATATTTTCATGGTATAAACACAAACAATTCCTATGAGCCAAAGCAGCTTTTGGAACAACAAATGATGGTCTTAATTCAGCAAATGACGTACGACTTAATAAAACATTTTTATTCTCTTCTTTGAACAATTCATAATTTTCACGTAAATTATTAAACAAAATTCTTTTTTGATAAGTTACTTTACTACCATCATCGTCTTTAACAACAACTGTATCCTTTTTACCTGGCAATTGATACGAAACATCATCCCGCAAGTAAAAATTAGGTACATCATTTTTTAATTTATCGGCAAGTTGCAGTGTAGTACGTTTATGTGTAGATTTAGGTACTAAACCAACATTTTGAGCAATATGTTGAATGATAACTTTTTTCTTTAAGTCGCATTTAGGTAGTGATGAATTTACTTTTTTTTAAAGCCTTACCAAATGATTGCCAGCTCTTGAAAGAGCTCGGGAAAGGTTTATCAATTAAACTTTTTTTTTTATTTTCTCGAAATTTTTGTTGACGCACTTTGTTTTCAGCACGAAATTTAGCTAAACCTAGTCCTCTTAATACCGTTCTTATTGAATTATTACGAGCACGAGCTTTTGCCTTCATTACCTCGTATTTAACTTTATCCTTTTTAATGTTTTCTCGATATTTTTTCATTCTTTCAGCATTGGTCATAGCCATGTCAAAAACACAACGGTAAAAAAACAATTACTGACCTTAATTAAATAAATTTAACTGATAATTCGAAATAATGACGACAGAAAAGAAAATTTTAACGTAGTTTTTTTCTATAACGACTTCTTTTTATTAAATAGATAGAATTGATCCTTCTCTTCTCTCCTCGTCTATTTATACGCTGTAAACAAACAAGATAAAATTGCGAGAGGAAAGAAAAAAAAATAACGTAACGTCTTTACACGATATAGGAGGAAAGCGTGTTGACTTGATCGATATATGTATTTTTTGCCGTCCAGTGATAAAAATGATCATTATCTTATTTTGAACGTCTATCATCTGCCTGCGAGAGCTATATGAAAAGTCATTTAGTGCAGAATTTGAATTTAATTCCGAACATATATCAATTGTTATGATTAGAATTAAGTTTAGCTAAAAATATCGGAGAATGAACACAAGTTACAACTATTCAAAGAGACTTCTCTTTATAAGCATAAAATCAGAAATTTTTTCGGGAGGGGGGCATCAACTGTTTTAGGAGAGGAACTATCATGTAAAAAAACTGTTTTTCGACTTACAAAATTTAATAAGCTCATACCCCCCTCCAGGTATTTGTATTTTTCAGGGAGGTGGACCCCCTCAGCGCTCGTCGCTGTCTCTTTATATAAGCATACCAACGATCGAAATCAACATTTTATTCTACGTAGTGATCATTCCAAATATATAATACTGAAATATTTGCTGAATTTTATAAACTCAAAATAACACAAATAATCAGGTTTTCGTAACAGCGTTACGTTTATCTACCTCATAGCACGATATTTTTGAGAAAAAAACTAGTGCATTAGAATCGCCTTGAAAAGTTAGTAATAATCCATTTATTTTTACACCAGTATTATGTACGTAACATACAATAATTCTAAAATAAGGTCTTATCGTAACGCTGTTACAGCGATATTGATCAAGTATTATTTTGCTTATTTCTCAATATGAGAACAAGGAAAGACGACTATTCTTTTGCCAAAAGAAAAGGTATAGTTGATAGTCTAGAAGACATCTGAAAGCGAGGATTCAGAGTTAGACATTAAGATGTGGGGTTAATTCCAAAGCAATACACAAAAAAGTGCAATAGAGAATACTATAGTTGATATTTAGTGTATACATTTCAACAGACTCCCAGAAATAGTTTTTTGAATAACAAAATACATTTTTGTACACTTCCGAACCTGCTCTACAACCTGACATAAACAAATATTTCGAAGCTTGAAATAAATACTTAATGTCTGAAGTGTCGCGTTACGCGGACAAGCCGTATTATTAAAAATGAAAGAAGATATAAAATATTCTTTGTATATAATATTTGCAATAGAATAGCAATAATGATTAAGTTAATCCTACTAATAAATATTAGATAATTAAACAATTATTTTTAATTATAGAGCGACCTTAAGTACTGCCATATATTGAATATGAAAACTTGACTCTTCAGTTGTTCGTTATTATAAATAGGCAACAAAATATTTGATCAGTTGAAAAGATGAAATGAGCAGTAAAATAACACATAAATGATCAGTTAAAAGAATGAATGATCAGTAGTTAAATGATCAGTAAATAATACGAAAGTGATCAGTTTTTTAAATAAACTACCAGTAATTAAATCATCTTTTAGCAGTAGAAAGTAAAAATCATGATCAGTAAGAAAAGAAAATTCGATCAGTAAATTAGATGAAATTACCAGTAGAAAAGCTACTTACTCATGAAGTATAATATAGAACAAAAAAAAAAGGAACAGAAAAAAAGAAATTAGAGTTGAATTATTGCACCACTAATGCACGTTTGGCTTTTGCTGGTCGTCCTCGTTTTCTTTTGCTGTTGATTGGAATTGCTTTTGCTGCTGCAGGTGGTTTGCAAATTTTCAGACGAATAGCCATTCCAACCATATGCTTGCATATGTAATCTTTAAGAAAAGCCGGACAACTACATTTGGATGTTTTCCAATTTAAATCATCCATCATTTCTAAACACCAAACATCATATGACTTTTCGAACAGTTTGAAGCTTGTCCATTTTTGTTTAATACATCTTTTTAAATCAGTTTGAGAAATAGATTGTAAATTACGTGCTGGTATATAATATTGTTTTGAAACACCATTTGAATACAGATAATTTCTTTAGTAGTTTTAGCCCATTGGTATGAAGAAGTCCATAGTCGTAAAGATATTGTTGATTCTGTAGCAAATACTTTAACATTTGTTGAAGATAAATCACGTTCAATAGACCAATGATTAACTATAGTTGAACTGATTGTCAAAAATCTAGATAAGACGTGACGCTCCCTAAATGTACCATCGGCTTTGATCACTCGATTAGTTACCTCTAAGCCATTATTTGTAGATGGCGTGTAAAGTTGGATGCCTTCGTACCATCCACTATGCGATTGAATCCATTCGTTATCAAAATAATCTAAAAAATCTTCGATCGTTTCATTGATTGGTTTCTTGTTATTTCTCCATTTTTTGAAAAATAAAATTGTTGCCAGCTTGAAAACAACAGTAGAATTGGATAAATGAAGTAATTCAATATCATGTATGATTTCTTTAGCTATATCTTTATTGTCTATATGACAAACATAATTGTCAATTTTTGTTTTCATGTGGGACCAACACATAATGTGATTATATTCATTATTAAATACATTTTGGAAACCATTTTTAATTGCATCAGCAGCATCAGCTACCAGTGCTGTTGGATTAAGTAATTCCTTATTAATTTTTTTCATACCTATTTGTACACTTCTAAATATGAATTCGAAGTCTTTTGTTTTTTCATTTGTACATATGGCTAAACCGAAAGGGTGAAATACCTTATTTAAATCTGTCGTACCAATTATTAATACTGGATAACCCTGCCATATTAACTTATACGTCGCGTCTGCACAAATATGTGATGATATGGATGCGATGGTTAACAATCGCACAGATGAGATAAATATACGAAATTTATTTTCATTAAAATCATCATTGTCTTCAATGTCTTCAGTATCTTCATCTGCATATATTATTTGATAAGAAACTACAAAAGATTCATTTTCATTAAGTGGAACATCCATATGTCTTCCACACCAATCATCTAATTCTCCCAGGCTAATAATGTAAGATCCAAATTTTTTCTTTTTATATTGAACAAGATAATTTTTTATCTTTATAATCGTTGGTACTGTTATATCTCGTACTTGTAATGCTCGAATAATTTGTTTTGGTTTGGTAATTCCATCATTAAATAATTCTTCAATAGATCTTTTGATATCTTCATTAATACCACGAACTTCTTCTACTTCAACATGATCATGATTAGCTTCCGTTTTATACATAGAAACTGTATCGCTGTTTGAATTAAATAATAAATACATACCTGCACGACATTGAAGACCACGGACTTTTGATTTTTTACACCGATAATATACTTTTTTACCACTTTCACCATTGTTTGTATAATGTTTTGACCATATAAGTTCGATTGATGCATGAGCTTCGTGAACATTACTAAATTCAGCTTTTTTAAGCCAACATCTTGTTTGTCTTTTGTTGATTTTTTTATTTGGTTGTAAATCATTATCATTTGTTTCCATTTCATCATCGGATGATTCGCTCATGTCTGGAACAAGGTTTTGTATATTCAACATCTTCTGTATTATTTAAATTAAATTTAGACTGAAAGCTGAATAAAATAAATTTATTTAGTCAGTCTTTTATAGTGAACTAGAGAAAGAAAGAAAGTAACAAAGAACACAAAGAAAGTCACACAGAACACAAAGTAACAAAGAAAACAAAGAAAAAAAACGACAAGCCGAACACACTTTATTGTCCGTTTTCGATTTTTCCACTGACTCTTTCGTATAATTAACTGTTAAAGTATTTTATTTACTGATCGTATAATTTATTTGAC